TGCATTACACTGACTCGAAGTGTTGAACCTTTGGGGATTTCAGGGACTTTGTGTCTGTTCTGGAAGATGTTCTACCACTGCATTCCCTAGATACTGTGCCTGTAATGAAACACAGGGCCCTTACCCACTGAACATACCCATCTTTCTACAGAACTGAATCAATTTCTCCTGTTCTTTGCTTCTTTTAATGCATCAGTACCTGCTCAAGTATCTAATATTATTTCTTTGATGGTCAGTCTTGTCCTGTACTGGCATTTCCTCCCAGCAAGTCTGCATGATACAATCTGCAACCCAAGTGTTAAGCTTTTAATAGAAGCGTTTGTACTCAATGCCAATAAAATGTTTCAATCACCTGTAATTAAACAGTCTGGAGACAGATCTGCTACTTAGAACGTTCAAAAAATCTGACAGTCTCTCAAAGATATGAAAAAGGGACAATTGTTTGATGTTCAGTCTTTACTGCAAGAAAAATGAAACTCTCCTCCAACAGCCACCAGGGAACTGGCAGTGACTGGGGACTCGAGGGCAGAAAGTCTGCTGGTCACATTGGGTTTGGATGATTACAGGATGTGGATCGGAGGGGCTTTTTGTTTCTCTAGGATACTGCAACTTTTAAACGAAAGTTTTTGGAACTTTGCATGGGATTCCTTATGCTTTGGTATTCAGCCTGTGTGCCAGTAGGTGTGATCACACAGGAGCCATCTGCCTCACCAGAAATCTACACGATACAAATGGCTTTTCAAGCATTTCAGAATTGGAATGGAACGCTGTAGAACAGCAATTATTAAAACAAGATGTTAATATGAGAAGAGGCAATTTATTTTTAATACACATGTAATTTGATCCAAGAATTTTTTGGAGTCAGTTTAACGGGCAACACTCACACTCAAGTGTGTGCAGTGAGCTACACTAAATGCACTGTCCCTTATGGCAGGTATGGAGGGAGCATGGGAAGGGCAGGCAGGGGTGCTGCTGTGTGCCCTCCCCATGTTTCTTCAGGGGATGAGCTATTTGGGCAGCAGAGAACAAAGGCAACCAGCCCTCCCTTACAGATGGGAGAACAGGTCCTGCATGTCCCCACCAGGGAGGTGCAGGTCTGCCCTGCTCCTGCAGTCTACTTCCCAAATGATGGTCAGTCTTCAGGGGAAATTCTACTCCACAATTACTCTTTAAAATTCAGCCTGACTGCAGTTTGGTTAGGAATCTATAGATGAACTTCACAGAGGTTTTAAAGAATGAGAAAGTCAATGCATAGCTGGTAAAAGCAGCTCAAGTGACAACAGACTGCCACATCAAAAAGCTAGAACAATTTTCCTTCCTTTCAAGAGCTTTGCTGGGGCATTCTCACTATTGCTTTCTAACACCTACAGCTTGTATGATCAGAAACACTCCAATGATTAAGCTCTCTTCTCAGGAATCGTTAATGCAAAATGCAGTTATAAAACAGTCTTTGCAGCCTCCCAAAGCAAGTACTTCTTGGAAACAGAATGCAAAAGCCAGTTACGAGCGAGGATCCAGGTTTCTGAGTCGAGATAAACAAAATCTTTCCTTAATTCACCATTGGCAAGCTCTATGCTTATCAAGGAGGCAAAGGAAACTTCCCCCCATGCTTTGCTAGGCAAACATGAGCACATGCAGCCATTCCAGCATTTCACAAAAGTACTTTTCCATTTCCATCATGAAAGACAGCTTAAGTACTTTTTTTTTTTTTAAAACACTTAACTGCAGTGATGGAGAACTTTGTTCCTTCATCTTCACCCCCTCCAGACTGGCCTGTTTCCTGACCACCCAGCAAGCTGCTGGACAAAGCTGTTTCCCTTCAATGTAAAGACTTTCAGCAATGCATGTTCCAAAAAAAAAACCAATTCAGGCAGCCTTGTAAGTCAAGGCTTCAAGAAGAAAACACCAGTGACCCCCGAAGCTGCCCTTCTGCCTTGTAAACCCAGAATAACACAAATCACTCAGCTGGCAACTACAGAGCATGCACAGCTCCTCCCAACCGCAACTCCTGCGCCACCAAAGGAGAGCTCTAAATATCCCATTAAGTCTTCAACTTCACATTAATTTCTGAGCTAATTGGCTGGGGACCCACAAACAGGAAGGATGATGTTACTCCCGGGGAAGAGCTGATTTCCAGTAACAAAGCCATGCTAAACTAATTAACTGCTTGCTTCTGTAGAGACTTTTTGCTCAAAAATTTTCACATCTTCTTTTTCCTCAAAGAACTGAATTTCAAACCTGAGAATGTCTCAACTCCAGTGTGATACTGGCAAGGAGTGACTGCTCGTCTGTACTGACGAAACTTCAAGGTTTTCCCTAGCCAGTTTGAAAAGTTGCATGTTCCTTACTCCTGTTGCCAGCTCAATGGCTCCTGATGGCAAGGGAGCAAATAATGGCTCTATTTGACATTTGGATTTTGTAATTAACTCTACAGATTAATTTCTGCAGAAATCATATTTTAACCAGGAATTCCTTACTCTCAGAATGGCCCCTACTCAGCTAAACTACTTAAGAGGTTACCTGGACTCAAGTGCATCAAATTTCATTTTCATCTTTCAACCACAGCAATACCTTGAATTACATTTCATATATCATATTTCTGTGTGATACTGATACAGTCACTTGAGTTTCTGAAACTGTCATAATTACTGATTGACTTGACTCATTCTGAATCCAGCATCTTCTGGGAAAATACCATCCAAGCCACCAAAAAAAAAACCCCACCAAAAACACATATAATGACATAATGTTGGATTGAATCTGTATCTTATGACTAACCCGCACGTTTGCTCAGCACAATCACCTAAACGGATTCAAGCAGCAGCTGTGAATCTCATCCGGAATAAACTGCAAAATAAATAGGTAATTGTCTAAAAAAAGAAATAAAATCCCTCTTTGCTGTCCTTGATACCTATAAGCTTTTGGTGGTTACACAGAACACCTGAGGTTTGGGGACCGTTGAGTACAGCAGTTGAGGAGAAGGACGACGATCATGTTCTGTGTTGCTTACATGGGCATAAGACAAACTACTGTTGGGAGAAAACACAGATGCCATTTGTAAAATGGCTTAGACAAGTGCCCCTAATTATCTCTCAGAATTCACAACATGTTTAAATACTCTTAGAGCATTAAAGAATCAACCCCGAAGCATGTAATACAATATAAAAGCACTCTTTAAACTGCTATGAACATGTATAGTGTCATTTACTAATCTCTTGGTGACGACCCTGAAATTAAGGCAAGGCTGCGCAGTGGAGCATAGAAACTGTAAGCCTGGAAGTTCAGAGATGTGACCTCCGTAAAGCCAAAATCCATCAGTTAGAGCCCTTGTGCGTTTATAGATACTCAGAGCTTCCAATGTGTGTTAAATATATTGTCCATAATCCCTGAAGTCAAAGGTTAACAGCTGCACTTCAGGAGATGTGGCTACACTGGTGAATACTGACTACAGCTGGGTCATTATTTCATGCTGACTATCATGGTGCTTATTTTACACAGGAGCAGACTTATTTACATAGGCAATTGTTGGAAAAGCAAAGATAAAAGAGATATATACACATAATTTCAGCAGTGGGGAAGGGAAAACACCCCCACAGACTTGGACAACCACCAGAAACAGTTAGATTCAAAGAAAACCTGTTTTTCCTCAGATGATTATTTTCAAAATCACCAGCATTTGTTTGAAACACTGTGTGTTAGACACCTATTTTCTTGGAGATAGCTAAAAAAACATTACATCAGCCTAGCCAGTTGCTCCAGGAAAGCGCAAGCCCTTATATCACATAAGATGGCTTTCTAAAAGCTTTTTCTTCCACACGCTTTGCTTCAACCGTAAGGTTTGACCTCTGCTTCTCAGAAGCCATATACACCCCTGACCTCAGATGAGGGAGGCAGAGAACTGCACAGTCAGTGCAGCTGACGCACCAGCCCCAGGGATGGTGCAGGACTGGGAACCACAGAAGGCTATCCCAGGATGACAAAAGGCCTCCTGGATAGAATGTAATACTTCATGTTGAGGGGCCTATCTTCACCTACTTAATAGCACTGTTACTTGAAAGTACTATGAAAGGTAAAGATTCCTGCTTTTCACACTGCCTTCGCCTACTGCCTCAAAATTCCCTCCTGCTGAGGTGGGTACGAGTGAACATCTCTCTCCTCCTTTCAACTGGCTTTAAAAAAGACCAAAATATATGGGAAAACCACATATATTCCAAGTAATCCTGAGACAAAACACCTTATCTTCATAAGACATGACTGTCATGTCACCAGGTTTTCTGAGCACATATTTTCCATCAGAACCTCACTACCAACAACAGCTTATTCAGATGTTTTAGATCTGAATTTCCTGTTGCTTTCAAAAATGTGAACTACAAGAACCAACAGCACACTGTAGTCTTTAGGGGTTCATCCAAGTGTCTAGTTGTTGACATTTAAAACATGAGGGCTGTCAAAAAGGAAGAGGACAATCTAGTGCTTATATAACTTAATTTCCTTGTTTCCATTAAAAAGTTATTAATTAAAAGGTAGTCTCAGCCAGGCTCAAACTCTTCACACACAGCCAGCTTCCTCCCATCCTGCTCTATTGAGAAGATATTTTGGCATATTTTAATTTTACTCAGGCAGAAAGTAATATTCTATAATTCATCTTACAGCATGCACAGGAGCAGTGGTAGCACCTTCCCAAGGCACCTTCCTGCAGCATGAATATGCACAGTAAACCACTGCACTTCCCTGGCTTACTGTCCTGCAGGTTATACCTGCCAAAAGGAACTGGACCTATTACATCAAGACGACCCATTTGCGTCACTGATTCCTCTGCCACCAATTTCAAAGTCCCTAAGTCTTGATGCCTATACTGCATTTCACTCTCTACGTATGTTATGGAAAAGGTTAAGTTCTGCAGCAAGTTCACAGACAGTTACTAAGAGACCAGAGCAATTCCTAAGCAGGACCAGCTGCCCACTTCTTTGGGTTTGTCTTATGTTCCTGCTCTTCCTTACCTGGGGACACAGGGCTTCCAGCTGGCTGGCTGACATGCGAACCAATTTCACACCTTCTTCGTTGTTTGAGATGGAACAGGCCAAGTTGGCAACCTGCATCAGAGGTGGGAGACAACAAAACACAACTGTTAGAACTGGGATTTATTTTCCTCTATAGGAAACTTTGTTTATCCCGAACAGTGACCAGGAACCCATCATGAAACATAAAGTGTCTGTTCAGTTTTAACCAATTAATGACACTTGTTCCTTCTCTAGTGATAAAACTGTAACACATCAGATCACAGGATCATAGACATGTTTGGGCTGGATTGGACCTTAAAGATCATCCAGTTCCACTCACCTGCCATGGGCAGGGACACCTTCCATTAGCCCAGGTTGCTCCAAGCCCCATCCAACCTGGCCTGGAACACTTCCACG